AAAATTCAGTGTATTTTGAATACAAATAATAGTGTTTTGTGTGAAGCGATTGAATGCGAAAATAATGATTATTTTTCAATCAATCAAACAATTGATTGCAATTCATGTAAAATCAGTGATAAAATGCTAAACAATTGTCATATCATTACTAAATCTGATGATTATTTTCACTGTTTTTGGCCTAATTGTCAATACAAGACAATAAAGAAAAGTAATTTAACTTCACACCAATTAATTCATTCAGAAATAAAACAATTTAAATGTGATTTTAATAATTGTGACAAAGTTTACAGACAAAAAACTCATTTAGATCATCACAAAAATAATATTCATTTAAATGTGAGATTTATTTGTGATGTCAATGAATGCCACAAAATTTTTAAAACAAAAAGAGATTTAAGTCGACACAAAAGTTGTGTTCATTTAAATGAAAAGCAATTCAAATGCACTGAAGAAAATTGCGACAAAAAATTCAACCATATTTCATATTTAATTCAACACAAAAGTTGTGTTCATTTGAATGAAAGAAAATTCAAATGTAATGAAAAAAATTGTGGCAAAACATTTAACTTTAAATCAAATCTTATTGAACACAAACGCATACATTCGGGAGAAAAACCAATTGTTTGCCATTTTAATAATTGTAACAAAACTTTTTCGTTTAAAGGGAATTTCAATGAACATATGAGAAGACATCTGAATATAAAACTTCATAAATGTATTCATAATAACTGTAATCAACGGTTTATTAGAGCAAGAGAATTGAGAAACCACGTTAAGAATAAACATATTTAATCACCAATTTTTTAATTATCCCTCATTTGTATTATTAGTTTTATCTTTATATTACAATTAACTTTTAATTAAATTAATTTTTAAAAATTACAAAAATAAAGTTGAAATTATTAAATACTAATGTAATTAATTTTTCTGGTTAATGTTGTGTTTAATTGAGTTATTATCATAATAAATAAATAAATTATTGCTTAAAACTATTAATAATAACACTAATTATCGCTGTCTTCGGGCGAACGATAGGAAGATCTGCTCTAAAGTGGTGTCACTTATGGTGTAGTCCTCGAGAGAGAAGCGGTGTTTCATGTCTTCCATGAGTGCAAACATCTTCGACCACAACATCTGTGGATCTGTTATGTGATAATGAAGTAGACATTGATGGACGTCCTTCAGGACAGCCGACGGCATCTCTTGGCGCACAAACTGCTCGATTGATGACATATAAGAGGGATCGTCGACCAGATCTCGTTTAAGTTTAGCCTAGTTTACCTGTTTTGTATATTGTATATTATACATAATATACTAGATTTCTAATTGAATTGAATTTAACAAAAGTGTTTATAACTTTTGCACAATGCATGCTGGTAGATTATAATATATAAAAAGTTTAGAGTTTAGAAACAACATTTGAATTAATAACAATCAATTTTATTCTGCATTTAATGTTTACTACAGCGATTTTGAATCAAATTTATACTTATGGTTAACTTAAAAACAACAACAATTTAAATAAATAGATATAAAATACTTTCGTATTTTTAAATGTTTAGATTTTGTGTTTTAGAAATAAATAATCTTATAAGTGATGGTAAATAAAATTAATGAATATATTGTATTGTATTGTTGTTTGAGATTTCATGAGATCTTATGATTGATATCTGGAAACAGGTTTTGGTTGTTATAAAAATGCAGTTTTGAAAACACGTGGAAATTAAACAAAACTATAAACACATTGTTTATACTATTCAAACGTTTGTATCATCGCATTCATTGTGTTATTATTTTTATT